GGGGGGTTCAGTCTGGAGAAGAGGAGGCTGAGGGGAGACCTCCTGGCCCTCGGCAACTCCCTGCCAGGAGGGGGCAGAGAGGGGGGATGAGTCTCTGGAGCCAAGGCCCCAGCGCCAGGCCCCGAGGGAATGGCCTCAAGCTGCCCAGGGCAGGGTCAGGCTGGCTCTGAGGAAGGATTTCTGTGCAGAAGGGGCTGTTGGGCGTTGGAATGGGCTGCCCAGGGCAGGGGGGAGTCCCCGGGATCCCGGGAGGGGTTGAAGAGTCGGGCTGAGCCAGCGCTGAGGGATCTGGTGGGGTTGGGAACGGTCAGGGGGAGGGTCATGGTTGGGCTGGAGGAGCTTCAAGGGCTTTTCCAACCCGGATGATTCTGGGATTTTCACCTCTTTTGACGCCCACACTCCCACCCATGGGGCAAGCCCCAGAGGAGCCCAGGCAACAGCTCCTTCTGGGTTAGCGAAACGCGACATGGCAGCGCTGCAGTGCAGGAGCCCCAGCCTTAGCCCCTGCTGGGCAAGGGCCTCTTCATCTGATGGATCCTTTGGGCTCTCAGCTCCTGGGTGGCTGCAGACGAGCCAGCCTGGCTCTCTGGGCCCTGGACCATGTTGCTGCTGCTGCTGCACCAGCTGTGCGGCTCCAGGCCAGCGTTACCTGCGCGGAGGATGCCTGTCCCTGCCTCAGACTGTGGCATGGGCCAAGGTTTCAGCTGCACTGTCCGTCCCAGAGGCCTGAGCAGGGGCTGTGAAGGGCCACGTTAGAGCTGTGCAGAGCCCTCGGACCACCGAGGGAGGAAGGGCCGAGTGCTTCTGCCCCTCCACCAGCCATGAAGGGGGCTTGGTCAGTGGCTGCCATGAAGGTGTGGGGCAGGTGGGGTGTCACACATCCCAGGGACAGGACAGGGGCTCCTCTCCCCACTCTCTGACCCACACCTCGTCCTCAGATCAACCTGAACAAAGGAGACGAGTATTGGTGGAACGCCATCCTGGAGGGCGAGGAGCAGATCGACATCGACAAGATCAACAAGGAGCGCTCCATGGCCACGGTGGATGAGGAGGAGCACGCTGTGCTGGACCGCCTCACCTTCGACTATCACCAGAAGCTGCAGGGCAAGCCCCAGAGCCATGAGCTGGTAAGTGCTAGCCACCCCGCGCCATCAGCACAGCCCTGCCACGTGCCCTCTGGCTCCTCCGTGGGTCCCATCTCTGATAAAAGGGCTGGAGCATGGGGCAGCTCACATCTCAGCTCATCTCAGAGCTCCTCACCCAGCGTCCCCCCACATCTCCATTTTGGGGAGGTGAGATTCTGCTAGTCACTGTCTTTAGCCTGCAGGCTCCCGTCTTCCCTTTCCCAGTGCCTTGGCAGGTGCCTGTGAACCCAGACCCTGCTGTGCTGGTCCCGCACCGCCAGGCTTCCCCTCGGCACTGCTGCCTCCCCGCTCTGCTCCGGGTTCATCCCGCGCAGGTCCGGGTTCAGCCGGAGCGTGGAGCCACCATTCACCGCCCATCGCTGCCTTCGGCCCCGTGTGCCCTGGGCGGGCGAGAGGGGGGGTGGGGGGGTGAATCAGGGCGTTGGTTGTGTGCCCTTGGGAATCGCTGCTGTCGTCACCCAGGGTGGAGGGGTGCCCGTTGCTGAACCCTCACGACACCCTGCGATGCATTGGGGGGCCCACGCAGCCTTGACACCTGCGGGCTGAGCCCATACCCGTCAACCCCGGCCTGATGGGAGCCTGTGGCCTCTTTGCAGAAGGTGCACGAGATGCTGAAGAAGGGCTGGGACACCGAGGGCTCCCCCTTCCGCGGCCAGAAATTCGACCCCTCCATGTTCAACATCTCCCCTGGTGCCGTGCAGTTTTGACGACGGCGAAAAGCAGCCAAGAACCGAAGTGGGGAGAGGAGAAACTCACCTGGACACCCACCCGGGACCCTTGCACCCGACTCTGGTGATCGTAACCCCCTCGCCAGCCCCCTCCCAGTGCCCTGCGCCGGCACCGGGCCCGATTTGCTCTGCGTGCGGGGAAACCTGGCGAATGCAGATTTACGTCCCGTCACCAAGGCAACCCGAGCGGCTGGGACCCTTCTCCTCTCCTCGCCTCGCGCTGGCGACGGCTCTGTTGTTTTTCCGGAATTAGACAGAGCTCGTTGGGTGACATAATTATTATTTCTGGTGGCTGAGGATGCTTCTTTTTGGGCTTCTGGGGGTGCAGATCCCTCCCCGCCCTGGCAGTGGGGCTGTGCTCTCCGCAGCCCCGAGTACGGGCAGCAGGGATGGGAGGGGGCACGTGGGGGGAGAGTCCGTCCCTGCCTGCGCCCTGCCTGCCTGGCACCCCCAACTCCCCTTGCTGGGCCCTGCTCTGGGGTCTCCAGTGCTGCGAGGGTGGGGGGGG